TACACCCATAACATTAACGAATAATGAAGGTCATGCACTATTCCTAGAAGACGAAGTAATGGAGAAATGGGAAAATTACATTAAAGCATTATTTAAGGATGATCGAGGATCACTACCTAACTTAAGTGCAAATACAGGACCATCAATCTTAAAAGCTGAAGTGGAAAAAGCCATACACCAAGCCAAAAACAACAAAGCCAGTGGACCAGATCAAATATACAGCGAATGGCTAAAATTACTCTCAAATGACAATATAAAAGAACTCACTGTACTTTTCAATCAAATATATGATACCAGTGAAATTCCATCGGACTGGTTAAAATCGATCTTTATTCCTCTACCTAAGAAACCAAACGTCAAGAAATGTAGCGATTGTAGACTCATTAGTTTAATGAGCCATGCCGTTAAAATACTGTTCTGTATTTTCTGTACTGCATATTATTCTAAACCGAATTAACATCAAGTGCGAAGAAATAATTAGTCAAGAGCAGTTCGGGTTCCGGAGATGCCTTGGAACTAGAGAAGCACTATTTTCTATGCAAAGACTCCTTCAACGATGTTGGGAGGTAACAAAACCCGTATATATGTACTTCATTGATTTTGAATAGGCATTTGATCGCGTTCAGCATACCAGGCTAATTACCGCCTTGCAGAGCATCCAACTAGATGAGAAAGACATCAAACTTATTGCCAAACTTTACTGGAACCAAACAGCCATTATTAATACCAACAACAGAGAATCAAAGCCAATCAGTATTGAACGAGGCGTAAGACAAGGCTCTATACTATCTCCCACCCTCTTTAACGTGTATTCTGAGAATCTATTTAGGGAAGCTTTAAAAGATCAAAAAGGAATTATCTTAGGAGGAGAAATAATTAACAATATACGGTACGCCGACGATACTGTGATTCTAGCTGAAAACATCGACGATCTGCAGGAGCTAATCAATAGAGTTGACATGGAATGCACAAATTGGGGACTGTCGATAAATATCGATAAAACCAAATACATGGTGACCAGTAAAGTGAATATCGGCGCAACCCAACTGATATTAAACCAACAACCGCTGCAGAGAGTTCAGAGATTCGAATACCTGAATGTTGGATTACAAAAATCTAGATCCATCCTTTAAAATTCTATGTAGAATTAAACAGGCAACAAACTCATTTCAAAAATTGGAGCCTCTATTATCCAATAACTATCATGACGATACATACCATAACGATATCATGAATAAAATCGAGGCGTGAGATGTGGTTGTATCGGAGGATACTAAAAATTCCATGGACTAGCAGAACCAGAAACGAAGAAGTTCTTCGAAGAATGGGACATCAACGAAATCTATTAAATATTATTAAGAGGCGTAAACTAGAATATCTTGGACATATAATCAGAGGACCAAGATATGAGTTCCTTCGGCTAATTCTCAACGGTAAAATCAAAGGAAAGAAATGGATAGGATGGAAGAAACTCTCTTGGTTGAGGAATTTGCGGCAGTGGACACGTTTGACAGCGGACCAATTGCTACACGTAGTGCAAGACCGAAATCAGTATAACAATATTATAGGCATGGTAGTCGCCGACGTTCCGTAGGGATATGGCACTCTAAGAAGAAGAAGTCTCGAATTACAAAATTTATACCCACATCTTCACTGATTCATCTAAAGCTGGATTTATAGTTTAACGGACTGTAGACGCAGACGCACTGGAAAAAGATCAATATAGACTTTTGTGTACTCCTATTTATAATTGTACGTAAACGCAAGACGAGACGTAAGCGAAACGCACTGTAACGAAAGAGTTGGTCAACTTTCATCTTTTACAGTGTGTTACCTGCGTCTGGCCAATCAAAAGGAATAATTTTGTGCTGTCAACCAAAGTGAACTGTCTGGCCCGCCCACAATTTTGTAAAGTTGCTTATTAACATATTCGAATTTTGATTTTATTAGAGATATATAAGATATATCTGGATTTTATTGATTGTTTGTTACAATGGACGTTAAGAAATTATAAAATAATAATTAGAAATAATAAAATGATATTATAGTATCATGGTCACCAATTCTAGTCACTGTTTCTACTCATGCTCAAAAATTCCACTCCGTCGATTTATAAATTGAAATAATATTTACAGTCCGTTTGTTACGTCTCCAGTGCGTCTTCGTCTACAGTCCGTCAAACTATAAATCCAGCTTAAGTCTTTCCACGGCGTAGGAACAGCAGTATTCATAAACAACGATACCAAATATTTATTTAAGCTTCCCAGTTTATACAATATCTTAAATGGAGGAGTTTATGCCATATTAGAAGCATTAAAATACATTTCCGGAGCACAAACCAAACACTTTTTAATAATATCTGACTCCCTTAATTCACTGAGACTCATACAGCAAACCTTCACAAACAAGACTATATATATATATATATATATATATATATATATATATATATATATATATATATATATATATATATATATATATATATATATAATTTAGCTCTCCAGGCCTAGAAGGCCCATGGCTTGGTTTACTATTCTTTTCCATTCTTTTCTATTTGTTGCTTTATTTTTCCAGTTTGGTATTTTAAGTTTTTCTATGTCTTTTTCAACATCCTTCTTCCACCTGGTTTTCGGTCTGCCTTTCTTCCTTTTCCCTCCTATTTCTCCCATTAGTATTCTTTTTGGTAGTCTCGTGTTTTCCATCCTTTGGATGTGTACTAACCATCTCAGTCTTTGTGACTTTATGATCCCTACAATATTCGGTTCTCCATACATCTCTAATTCCATATTTGCTCTTTTATCCATATACCATTCCATAATTTACCTCCAAATATTTTCCTGAGGCCTCTTCTTTCCCAGACTTGCAGCAAGACTTGCTCGGATTTGTTCATTGTCCATGTATCGCTGGTATATAATACAATAGGTCTTATTACTGTCTTATATATTCTTATCTTAGCCCTTCTAGATATGTTTTTGCTTCTTAATAAATTGTTTAGTGCAAAAATACAACGATTATCGGCCATAATTCTCGTTTGGATTTCTTCTTTCATATTTGGTCTTCTCGTGAATGTCGCTCCTAAATATTGGAATGTTTCTACTTCTTCGAATTTATATGTTTTTTCATCTGTTATTACTGTCAGATACTGTTCTTGTAGGTAATCTCTTTCTGTCCATTCCATATATTTGGTCTTTTCTTCATTTATGTACATCCCTTTCTTTCTCGCTTTCATTTCTAATCTTTTTGTTATTTCTTTTAATTCTTGTTTACTTCTGCATTGGTGTTTTCTTTGATATATAAGTCCTGACCTGTTGATTCCAGCTTCTCTGATGGTAACTTCGAGGACGATACTGAACAACAGCGATGACAGTGGGTCTCCTTGTCGCACCCCCTCACTCACCTCAAACTTATCTGTTTCTTCGCCATTTATTTTAACCTTATTCTTTTTTCTTCGTAGTGTCACTTTTACCATTCTTATCAGTTTTTCACTAACTCCCATTTCACGTAGTGCTTTGTATATTTCTTTGCGTTTGATCCTATCGTACGCTTGTTTAAAGTCGATGAATAGGGCCACTGTAGGTTTCCCATATTCGCAGCTTTCTGCTTGTATTTCGCGCAGTAGGAAAATTTGATCCACTGTGCTGCGCCCTCTTCTGAATCCACATTGATATTCCCCTATGTCATTATCTATATTTTGAGATAGCTTATCTTCTATATATACTGCAAGTATTTTATATGCAACATTTAGTAGGGCTAATCGGCTTTTGTCGCCTTTTTTGTGAAAAGGCTGGGCTCTTATTATTCTTTAGTTTCTCTATTATTTCTTTTATTTCTTTTTCGTTAGGCGGTCTTTCCTCTATTCGTTCTTGATCGACATTTTCCTTCACTTCTTCTTCCTCTTCATATTCTGTTGTGGGAATTTCATTTAAAAGTTCTTCAAAGTATTCTTTCCATCTGCTCAATATTTCTTCGTCACTTACTAAATTTCTTCTACTTTTGTTTTTGTAGTGTACAGGTTTTCCATGGTACCCTTTTTTCTCATTTTTCACCCCTTGATATAAGTTTCTAATTTCTCTATTTTTATAATGCATATTACAAGCATTAAAATACATTTCCGGAGCACAAACCAAACACTTTTTAATAATATCTGACTCCCTTAATTCACTGAGACTCATACAGCAAACCTTCACAAACAAGACTACGGCCATATTAATCAAAGAAATATTACACAGTCTTCGTCAAACGGAGTCAAAAATAGTTTTCCTATGGGTTTTCTCTCACTTTGGAATCAAGGGAAATGAAAACGCTGATAATTGGGCTTACACAGCTGCGTAATTACCTTCATTGGCAAAACAATATACAAAAAAATGGAAGACATCTACAAGCAAATTAAGAGAAATAAAAGAAAATACTGGTCCATGGAACCCATATTCAATGAATATATCTCACCAAGTTATCCTATCTCGTCTTTGGTTAGGACACTACAAACTTACTCATGAACATCTCATTACGCATACCGAAGCATCAAAATGCAGCAAGTATAATATACCAATAACAATAAAACATGTGCTAATGGAATAAAGTGAATTTGACACTTACAAACAATCGATACCTGGATATTCAAACAATATGAAAGACATTCTTAACCTTCAAACCGACTGTAAACCTCTTTTCCAATTCCTTAACAAAAATGTAACTTTCCAAGTAAGATATGATGTACTTAAATTTATAATTTGTACGCCTTTTGTATTTTCTTTACCCCCGCTAATGACCTTCGTGGTTAATGCGGTTTTTTTTAAATAATAAAAAATTAGAATGTACCAAATAAAGTTTAAGAGTAGAAAAGGAAAACAAGAAATAACCCAAAATGTTTACACAGTATTAAACGTAAAAATTAACCCTAAAGTCTCGAAAAGAATGAGCTCCCATTAACAATTTTCATGTAAAACTTATATCGATCTTAAAATAAATTAAAATATATTTTTAAAGGATGTACTTACGTGTGAGATAGTGGACTAATGGATTGAATATCTCCAATTTCTTCATCCCAACATGAGATATACTTTTTGTAACTCGCCAACTTGGTCTTAAGTCTATTGGAGCTCATAACCAGAGTGTAGAGAAACATTAAGACGAATAATACTGTTAAAACTAATACAAAAATTACAGTGAGAGGATTTCTTTCTTCCGGAACTAAAAAATAGAAAGTTCTTAATCGGTTAAGTATTAAAAACAATAATGGAAGTTGAAATGCCTTATAAACTAGATTTTATAACAGATAAAAAAATGTATATACGTCTTGCGACGTGGTCCGTTGCCTAATTTCCATGACACTCCCATCATCCCATTGGCCTTTTCTAAGATCTCTTGCGCTTCCTTCGTTACTCCCTCTCTCCAAGATTTCTCGAGTCTTCTTCTCTTCCTGCGGTTGGGTGGTACCCATTGCATAATTATTTCTGGGAGTCTTGAGTTATCCATCCTCTGGGCGTGTCCGTACCTTATCAACTGTTTTCTTTCTATGTCTGTTGTTAGAGAGCCGTAAACCCCCATTCGCTGTCTTATCTCATCATTACGTATTCTCTCTCTGCGTGACACTCCTACTGATCTTCTAAAAGCGTCCATTTCCACTGCCTCCAGTTTTCTTCTGTTGTTTTCAGTTAATCGCCAAGTTTCTGCTCCGTACAATAGACTCCTTTTAGTAAGAGATTCGTAGATATTGTGATTTCTTCTTTTTCCTATTTCATGTCTCCACAGTGCGCTGTTTAGACAACCTATTGTTTTTCTGGATTGTGTTATTCTTCTCTTTATTTCTTCATGATCTTTCCCCGTTGTGTCAAAAACGATTTCTAGGTACGTGTAATGGTCGCAGAGCATGATGATTTCGTTATTTCTAATGTGATGTTCGATAGTTCGATACCTATTGGCAGGTATTTTGTTTTTTCTGTATTAATTTCTAGTCCCCACTTTCTATATTCTTCTTGTAATTTCCTTGCCATGTACTCTAAATCATCTTTATCGTTTGCTATAACAACCTGGTCATCAGCAAACTGCAATGTATACAAGCAAATCTCTCCAAGGTCTACGTCCATGCCTCTACATTTTCGTTTCCACTCTTTTAATGCTTTTGCAACATATGTTTTACACAAGGTCTGTGATAAATAACACCCCTGACGTAGACCTTTATTAACCAGGAAGCTTTGCGATAGTCTGTTTCCAGTTTTTATTTGTGATGTTGACCCTTCATATAAATTTCTTAAGGCTTTTATTAAGGTGACACTAATATTCTTCTGTCGTAACACGTTCCAGAGTTTGTTTACAGGAACTGTATCGTACGCCTTCTTCTGCAAGTCAATAAACATGAGGTGGGTTTCTTGATTTGTGTTTAATTTTTTTTCTATTAGTTATTTGAGGGAGAAGATATTATCAGTACAGCTTCTTCCTGTTCGAAAACCGAATTGTTCTTCCTCCTCTTGGTCTTTGTATTCCTTCTCAATGCGGTCTCTAATTATTCGTCCATAAAAACGGCTGAATGTACTAGTGACTGATATCCCTCTATAGTTTTTACATTTAAGCTTATCTCCTTTCTTATGGATCAACGAAATATAATCAATTTTCCACTCGTCGGGTACGGGAGAACCATTTATAAATTGATTTATGCACCAAGTGACGGTTTTAAAACAATTTTTGTGATCCACATTTTATTAGTTCGGCTGGGATATCCCCTGGTCCTGGAGACCTACCGTTTTTAGTTCTTTTATATGTTTGACTTAAAAACAAAATATTTTGTTAATAGAAAAATAAAGGAACAATATAAATTTTTTTTTAAAGAAATGTATCTATGCTAGAAGTTGAGGGAGAGAGATACAGAAGAACTGAGGAGAAAATGGAAGAAATGTGTGGCAGAGGGCTCGAGAGAGAAAGGTTGAAATGAAGAAGACACGATGGACAGGGATGAATGATGAAGAAGAGTAAGGAACAGGGATCCCCTGAAAAAGAAAAAAGCTGAGGAAGAAGAAGTGTAAACACATCAGTAAAAAGGCAGGTGTCAAAATAAAGCAAGAAAATACAAGGATCATTGTTAGAGATACAGCCAATAACAACCAAAACCAACAAATAAATTTACCTTAACATTATACCTAAGCCATCTAGTCTACCTCGCGTCCATGACAGCCAACATCGGAGGATGCATTGAAGAAATAAGATGAAGAACATCCATGGTAAAATAACTAGACTGACTAAAATCTGGAGAAGCCATGAAATTAGTGTAAGGATTAAAATGATACTAGTCAGATTCCTAGTCTTTTCAGTTTTCCTACATGCGTCGGAATATTGGACCATCAAGGAATTATGTGTTAATACTAGATCAACTAAACATGAACCAAATAGTCTTGAGAATCTCACAATGCAGTCAGCGTGGAAAATAAAAGATTTAGAGGTAGATTCCCTACAAGGTACATAGACCATATCATCTCAACCATTGGCCTCCACCATGAAAATGTGCAAGATTAATGAAAGATCGAGAAAAATGGAGGAATCATCGGCTAGATCAAATGATATCTTATAATAACACGATACCTATATCAGAGTGACAAATAAGAAGATCAGTTTTTGACAGCTCAAGTTCTCAGCAAATGTACATTTATATGGTAATAAAAGTAGAACTTCTCGGAAGCTGTGAAAAGCTTCCTAGAAAACTAACTGTATTGCTTTAAATAGACAATTACAATCAATGTACTAAACTATTAAACAGTTTTATAAAACGAATAATACATAAATATGTAAGTAGGTAAATAAATTTACAATAGTCAAAGAAAAATAGCTTACTTATGAACTAAAAAAATGAAAATATAGATATCTATTATAGGTACATATTCAAATAAACATTTCTAAACCAAAAGGGTTATATTGTATTTGTTTAACTTGTGTAATTTGTGTAACCATACCTGCCAATGTAATAAAAGACGGATAGTTGCACCCATCATAGTAAAATCTTGCAGTTATTCTGTAGCTTACACTTTGTTTCAGATCTGGCAGAGTAATTTCCGCTCCATCATCACTAATGTTACATTGTTTTACTTGACTTGGAGCGGTGCTGTTGTCTTCGCGTATACTGAAATAAAAAAATATTATTAGCATTTATGTACCAGTACCTTCAAATTAAATAAAAGAGGTCTGAAAACTATTTATCAAAAATTAATATGATTTAAATATGAACCCATGATAAAATTCAATAACAGATAAGGTAAGTGTTAATAATATGGAATACTAAAAGTAAACCAATATAAATAAACATATTTAAAGGAAACTCGTGTGAAATTAAAATTGAATGTAATAAAAATTAAATACAGTGTGGAAACCACTTATGAAATAAAATTGTTTGTGTCCTTATTTTAGAAAATAATAAAAAACGTTGAGATACCTTAACTTTTAAATTTAAATGTACGCTTTTTAGACATAAATTTGAATGTACAGGGTGATCAATGCAAGTCTGGCATAGTGCATAATCTGTATTTTAAATGAAACACCCTGTATATTTTCATGTTTTTAAAAGCTCCTAACAACCTGATTTCAACGAACTATATTATGTAGGGTCTATTGTGAATCATCCAAGGTGAAATTTTGAAATTAGGTATTTTTTTTAAGACAATGAATTCATAGAATACCCGAGGTAATTGATTGGATTACATTAAAATAAATGCTCAACATGTCCTCCACCTTGTTGTTGGCAATAACATAGTCTCCTATAAAACTCGTTCCGAACTTTGTTTAAAGTTTGAGGTGAAATATTCCGTATTTCTGTAGTTATCCTTACTTTTTGAGGTCTTCAATGATAGTTGATCGTGTTGCATATACTTTGTTCTTGAGAAAACCCCACAAAAAATCTAAAGGCGTAAGATCTGGCGAACTAGCTGGCTGCTCACTAGTCCTCTTCATCAAATCTACTTATTGAAGAAGATTTCATTCAAGTAATTTTTCACCATTAAAGCATAATGGGGTGTTGCACCGTCCTGCTGGAACCAGACAGTTTCATGCGGTAGGGTCGGATCTATTGGATTGGGATATAAGTTAGCCAACTAAGGAAGAACATCGTCTCTTAGCATGCTTAAATATTTTTCCGCTGTCAAATTATCATCTATAAATATAGGACCAATAATATGATCTCCTATAATACCTGCCCAAACATTCAACTTTTGAGGATACTGAGTGTGTGTCTCACGCATCCAATGAGGATTCTTCGCTGACCAATATCTACAGTTTTGGCAGTTTATCTCTCCTTTTAATGTAAATTTTGATTCATCAGAAAAAAGAATTGCCAAGAGCTATTTCTTTTGTTAATTTTATCCCTCATTCTTTTGCAGAAATCCATTCTACGATCCGGATCGTCTTCTGTTAGCTCCTGCACAAATGTCAATTTATATGGATGAAGTTTTCTTCATGGAGACACCTTAGGACAGTTGTGTGACTCACATTATTTTGACGTGCAATTTGACGTGAACTTGACGTTGGATTCTCTGCGACACTTAACAAAATATCCACTTTCACTTCATCTTCAATGAAGTTCGATTTTCTTTTTAATGGTTTGGCATATCTAAGTTCTCTGAATTGCGCATAAATTTTAGGACACAGTACCTTGTGAAATATTAGGCAACTGAAGATACCTCTGATTAAATAAGAATACTACTTCAACTTACTTCTACAATTCTCCCCGTAACCGATCATCATTAAAATCTCATTTCGGTGGGCCTTAGTTAATTATTTCATTTTTATTTCTGCTAAGAAATTAGTTTTTAATTAAGAATTTATTATTTTAATGTAAACTGTCAACAGCATGTCAACTGATTGATAACAATCCGCGTTATTTACCGATTTAGTTTAATTAGCAGACTATCTATACAGTTTTTACCTATTCACGACAAAAAATGTTAACACGGTTACTAAACAGAAATTTTCCCCAATAAACAGTGTACTGACACTTACGAGTAGAAGTCTATTGTCTGTATTTAGCTAATTTAAAATAATATCATAACACGTGATAATTATTAATTTCAAAATTTCACCTTGTATTATTCATTATAGACCCTACATGATATACTTCATTGAAAATCAGGTTGTTAAAAGTATTTTAAAAACATAAAAATATACAGGGTGTTTAATTAAAAATAAGGATTATGGACTATGCCAGACGTGCGTGGATTACCCTGTACATTTAAACTTATGTTTAAAAAGCGCACATTTAAATTTAAAATGTAACGTGTCCCAGAGTTTTTGATTATTTTCTATAATAAGGACACAAACAATTTATATTCCATAAGTGGTTTCCACACTGTATAAAAGAAAGGTGACAACGCCACACTCCTGGTAATGTAAAAAACTGTTATAATAAATAATTTTATAAATTCAGGACTACAAACAAACAAAAAAGAAGCAATCGTAAGACTAAAGCAAGATATTAAATTAAAAAATAAAAATAATAACAAATTAACAATATTTGCAAAAGAAATAAATATAAAAATGAAATACAGAGTAGTGTTCCACATACTGGGCCTCAATAACTGGGCATTTCTCGACAGAATTAAAAAATACAAAGGCATCGTTGTCTCGTTACGCATTGAAACTCAAAATCAATGTCTATCCGGCGAATGCCTGCTTATTTATCCCACTCCCCACCTACGAATCATCTACTACGTTTTATTGGCTTAGTGCATGCAAGGTTATTATATTAAGGTTTAGTAGATTGCTGTGTTGTTGCTTATTCTACATGAGAACTTCTAAAAGAAAAGAAAACAAATCAATTTATCAATGGAACAGAATTTTCTGCATTAAAGCGGTTGGACAAAAGAGAGAGTGTAAACAAGAAGAAAAAGAGCAGAAATAGTAGCAATCAAATAGACCACTGTACCTATTGTTTAATCGAGCTAGAAGAAAAAAGGAACAAAAGATTTTAGGCCCCGTACTGCAAGAGCAATCAAATTCTACGAGAATTTTAACAAGTAAGGTGTGTCAGATTTTGTAGCAGAAGTGTGGGTTGGCTTGGCCGGTAGTAAAACGACATGGGGTTAGACAAAGTAATATATGTGGTGAACCTATTTTCTGGGAAATGACGACTCTTTGACTCTTTAGAAAAAAGGTCATAAAACGTAAAACTTTGACATTGGATCAGATTTACTAATTGCGATGAAATAAAGTCTACTCTTGGGTAGAAGATAAGCAAGGAACGTGTTACCATCTGGGAATCACTAATGCAACAGGCAGTATAAGCTAAAACTATGTTTTATCGGTAAACCTAAAATACTACGTGCATTGTAACGTCTATTAGTGTGTATAAAAGACAGCAAAACGCATAAGTGAATGGAATTATCTTTAAAGAGTAATGATCTACGATCAGTTCATACCTACAATTAAAAGATATATGATGGTGATATAGAAACCATGTTCTTGTCCATCAACGTGATTGCACTTAGCAGTCTAGGAACAAGGGGATTCTAGCAGATTTCAAAAAGGTACCGCCGCAATCTGCTTTACATATTTGGTAACTATTGAGACGATCAAAATTAGCTGCAAAGCTTAATAAATAGATTTATTGGAGGTTACAGAGGTATAAAAAAATAAGTTCTATTACAACGGTGCGTTTTTTGAGAAAATTACCAGATAATGCAGGACACGAGTTTCCAGAAAAACACGATGAAGATTATTCTGGCCTAGTGGGCTTAATAAAATAGGTTCCTGGTTATGAAGATGCAAATGATAGTTACGTAACAGAATCTATGAAGCAGGATACTGTAGAAAACATTTTTTTTTATGAAAAAATTGTAAAGTTGTGAAAGGAAAAAGGTGTTAGGAAGAAAGTATTGGTGATTATGATGAAGAAGAGATGATCAAGGATGATGAACCAAAAATGAGTCACATAGATGGACTTAAAGCTGTTGAAAGTGTTTTGACATATTTTGACCAGCAGGGTGGTTAAGCAATGAACATCCTGATTCTCCAACGTTTGCATGACGATGCCGTTTGCAAGAGAGCTAAATTAAAAAAAAACATCGATTACAATTTTTTTAACGAAAGTAAAGTACGTGGTCTTTCGTTTTTGTTTGTAATTCTCCTACTACATTTATATTGTTTATTTGAAGTTTTAATTAGATTGAACGTTGTAATTATTGTATTTGGTTGTGAGTCACATACCCCTAATTGTGGCAATGTGCGTTAGAAAACTCCAGAAGCGTGTCAGTTGTCAAATTTTGATAAAAAAGATGATCTTCAAGAATTTCAGACTTTTCTGATAATTTGAGCGCCGCCCAACCATATGTTTTCGAGCTCTTAGATAAGTATTCGCTATTTTACGCATAAACGATATTTATTAATGTAATTAGTAATTTTGTTATTTGTAACTAAGTGGGTTCTTAAGTTAAATAAAATTAGTTAAACCACGTCTTGCTTCACTTCATCTCTAAACTCACAGAACAATTTAAAAATATTTTAGTAATGTGACAGATTTAAGTTCAAATTTACTATTCTCTACATCATATGTGATGAATAAGAACACATTATAATCTATAAGAGCTTTTTGTTAGGTTTAAATCTATTATTCTCGATAACTTGGACATTTACACTAACAAGGCCGTCTTTGTGTTCACATTATTTGTCGGACTCTTTTGTATAATAATACTAATACTCTAATATAATAAAAATTGTAAATATTTAAACCCTAATAAGAATGCTTACATTTCTTCTTTTTTTTTGTTGAAATATTTGACTTTTTCTTTTAAGCGCTAAAGATAGTCTTTGAAAGATATATGCTGAAAACCTTACTAAAAACTTACTAGTATACATCCAAAAGTGTCAACTCTTCATTGGATAGTTTATCCCATTTTAAAAAGTATACATCATCGTGTACTGGAATGATACTACTTAGTTGATATGGAGACGATTTTGCACATTTACATTTATCTTGAACACAATCTAAAAGAAAAATTTATTTTTTATTTTAAATAAAATATTTAGAAGAATAAAAGAAAATTATGGTCTATACTATAGACTCTATATGAAACTCGAATTTAACATTTTTTTTTGTGTGTTTTGGCTTGGACAATTGTCATTCAGCCAGTCTCAATCAAGATAAGTTTATTAATGTAGTGTGTGTGTAGAGTAATTGTCTTGATACTTAACAAAGTCGACGTCATTGTCTTCGCTAAGAGAGGCTTATTGTATCCGAACGTCTGCGGTCCCTCCGGTGAGTACCAATCACACAAGGATAGAAATTATTTTCATTTATTAATTTTTTTAATAAACGAAAATTTCCACCCAGGTGAGATTCGAACTCACGACCTTTAGGTTTAAAGGTAGGCGCTCTTACCACTGAGCGAATTTAACATTTCGTATGTCAAATTTAGAGTTGGCTATATTAATAAGATCATAAATTTAAATCAGAATGCTGTAAAAATGCTTAAAAAGAGCCGATAATTTACATTTATATGCCTAGAGATGAAGGAACTTGAACGAAGATATGACTATTTTGCCATGTTTAAAAAGAGAAAAAATTGACTGGACAGGGAAGCAAAGTTTCACAAATAAAATAGTCGGTTATAATAAACGACCTATATTCGAAAACAACGAAATTTGTAGGCACTGGAATAAATACACAGGGGGAGAATTTTAGAACTTTTGAGATAGGCTCAGACAAGCGAATGTCCTTGCTTGAATCTTATTTAATATTGGCCTGAAAAAAGCAGTATGAAACACACAAATTAAAGATGGTGGTACTGTTTTCAATAGATCGATACAAATCTTAGCATACGCTGATGACATTGACATAATAGGGTGTAGTAAGCGAGATTTTGAACAATATTTTCCTAGTATTTGAAACTGCGACAAAACAAGTCGTTGTAGTTATCGTCATCAACGAAGGCGATACCAAGTACATTTTGGTTACTAAGAATCCTATAGAAAATAAAAAATCAAAAGAAGAACTAAAATTATTATAATATACCATACATTGCTGAGGTAGGGTTCTCACATACGGGGCATCATAATATCTAATATAGCTAATGACAAAGATGTTAAAGCGACTATTTTTATAAAATAAAAAAAAATATATGTTTCCTAAACGAATAAAACTGAATACTTCGGTTTAAAAAATTACGTTATTATAATTTTATAATAAACAACATCACTTACCTGGTATTTGATAGATTAATGTTTGTTCTAAATTCTCTAAAAGATCATGAGTTTCAATAATTATTTCATATTCGCAGCCATTTACTAAATTATCAGCTGGGTTGGCCAAATTTAAGGATGGAATGATGAGAGTGTCACCCTGAAAGTAAATGATGAGTTTGATTACTAACAAATAGTTAATTATATTCCAGATTTTATTATTGATGATACCCATTTGCTTATTTGATTCTGAGGAATCGTTTGGCCAGGTAGAGTAGGTAAGCACGGATGAAAAATTAAAATTTTTTACATCATCTATAATTATTATATTTTCTCATTGACGCTAATAGTCAAAGGCTTTATTACCGGCTTAGTTGCACAATAAGCGGACGGTAATTTATTTACTTTCATTTGATGATTCGAGATTTAGAATTCGGCCGAATAGGAACATTTTTCTGTTAAAGACAAACTATACATGAAATCTTAACTGTATTTTCCTTTTTATTCCGATTAACTCTGTACGAGTACTAGAAACCAATTCGCTAAGGATTTTTGCTTAGTTGAGGAGATATGTTGTGGAAGGCAAATTTCAGATTCCCCATGTCGCTAATAACATTTTTATCAACGTCCGTTTTACCTTGCAATTCTTAGAAGGCACAGATTAAAGCAAAAATATAAATTTGGTTTCGAAAATTAGTTTACGGATTTTACATCAAATATCGCTGTTTGCGTCCATTCGAAGCCATGTTAGAGTTGCTTCCTAAGACAGAAGAGATTTATTCTCACGTTCAGAGCAACTGTGAATTGCCGTTCTGAAGAGAACTATTAGGCCGAAATACGTATAAGCGAATACACAGACGCACTATACGTGAAATCAAATCTTAACTGCCTTTTCCTTTTTTTGGAATATAAATGCTTCAATGGATAATTTGTTTTGTTTCATTCTTGTTGGTTGTAAAGACAATTAGTCTTGTAAAAGAGATAATATAACATTTTCTACAACGCTTTTATATAAAAGATATTCGGACTAAATCTCGGAGTGTATCAGTATCCTAATCCTACTTCCTAGAAGTTCGGTTCATTGTTATGTTACAATACAAGTGACACCTAATAGGCCAACCTCTATTACGATCGGTTAGTATAAAAATATTAACTACTGGTGGTAATCTTCCAGGACCCTTAAGCTAGCGGGCATAAATAAGCGGAATCCAATTTAACCAACGTAATATTTTTTCACTGATTTTTCACTAACTTCACTGATGATCATCATCAATCACCCCATATTTGTATATTGCTGAACGTGGGCCTTCCGTAAAATTTTCCACCTATTTCTATCTTGAGCTTCTTGCATCCAGTTTGTGGTGATGCGCTTGATATCATCCGTCCATCTAGTCGGTGGTCGCCCTCTGCTTCGATATGCTACTGATTTATTATCATCCTAATGATGTTTCTCCACCAAACCAGCCTTAAGGGGAGTTATTCTGCTGGCTTAACCCTCTAGTGCATGAATTAAATTTTAAGTAAATAAATTCCTCATAATTTTAGAATAGAGAAATGTGGTTATAAAAAGTAGAAATTTATTGTTATAATTTAATTTAGATAATAAAAATAAAGCCTGCAGCCTAAAACAGGTTGGCTGCCTATAGGCAGACTTGTGCAGTAAATATATAAAATCGTAGCATGTAGTAGTTACTTTTATATAAAAACAACAATGGATACAAAGGTACAAAAATTATCTTAGTGTGGCTAACTTATGATGGAAATCATAAAAACAGGTTTTCGTTGTTGAATTGCACAATGATAAGTTGCATTTACCACAAAATGCTTGTGTTTCCGAAGTGCATTTTGGGAATTTGCATGTTCGTTTGCCAGATCGGTCCTTGAAAACGCACCAATGACCAATCTGATCGTAGCGGACATCTTCGGTTGGCAAGTATAGTTTCTTTTTTGATTTTGGAGAATCCTGAGATGTTGAAGAGCTGGGTCGCCCAACCTTTCTTCTCTTTGGCACTACTCCGTACTTGCATAGCGATTCAGCAACTTCCGTCCGAAACATTGGGAGTTCGAGTTTTGGCTGTCGGGATGGATTCGATGATACAGTATGTATGCATTTACCATTACTACATCGATGAGATGGTAGAAGATCCGATTACTCCATTTTTTTGTTTTCATTCGGATATGATACCTGCCCAGTAATCCATCCATCAAATCGACACCTCCCATGTGTCGATTATATTCTGTAATAATATGAGGGCAATCTACTTCAATGTGCTTCTTCTCTTTTTTGTTCCACCCTTCTTGCCTTTTGTGGTCCTGTGTCAATATTTCTGGATGCAAATCGTTTGGTGCCAACGTAAATTGACAGAAGTCGTACGGTTTTAGTATCATGCCACAGTACTGACGAAATATCGATCCCGTAAACATTACCAACGTACTCCTCTGAATACCCGCGGTGCACTTTCTTTTCAGTTAGAGCAGCACTTATAAAAGTTTGCAATTGGGCACACGATTTGCACGTACAGTGCATAAACTGTAAATTCCTCGGCTGCGAAGATATGTAATAAGACCTAACGAGGTGTAAAAATTGTCAAAATACACAATGTGGTTAACAAAATTTGGAAAATGTTTTGACAAACGAACCACGACGTTTGACGATGCCCCAAGATCTGCAACGCCTTCAAGAATAACATTATCATCACCAGCACCCGAGTAAACTTTAAAAGCATGTGAAAAACCAGTAAAGTCGCAAAGAGCAAAAAATTTAAATCCCCACTTATGAGGTTTATTTGGCATGTATTGCCGAAGAAAAGTTCCAGTCATTTTTGTTGCGCATATTTGCTCGTCAACACAAAGCCGGGAAAGCATTGGGACTGACACGAACCTTTCGTTAAAATGTGTTATAAGTGTTAATTATCATTAAAATGTAGATAACGGCGATTTGTCTCAAATCGCAATACTGGCATTACCTGGCGAATTTGTTCAAATGCATGTCTTCCCCAATAAGATCGGACATTTGGGTAGCGATAAATTGACATGTAAATCAAAATGCCGATAAACTGGCGAAGTTCAATTGGATCTACATTGAATGTTGTATTAATTTGCTGTTGACGTGCATAAAGATTGGTTTGCAGAGTAAGCTCGTCTAATAGTTCGTTGTTCACAAAATAACTAAAACAGTCATATGGTGTGTTTCAAAGCACTCAAACCGTCTGGCAATTATTTTTCTCCGCGAAATACCAATTCGTTGATGTGTAATTGAAGGTGTTTCTTCTTCCAAGTAATGGACTTAAATTCTTGACTGTCGTTCTTTATTGTCATGACGTTTCCAGTAAAGTCTCCTGAAGTGGAAACACTTCGTCCGTCTTCTTCTTCTTGTTCATCTGCCAGTTCACTGTACCATAATACTTAGAAAAATAACATAAAGAACAATAAGAAATAATACTAAAAAAAAAACCATAATAACAATTTTATACACTGTAATGCATAGGTCTGCCTTGAGGCAGCCTCTAATTTTTTAACTGTTTGTAACAATTTACTTTATTTATCGCATAAACTAACACTAAATACCTAAAATATAGGTAAACAGGTACTCACCGTAAATTTTGTACAACTCAATGTCCTTTAGAAGTATTTTTAAAAACTGTTTATTTACACAAAGCAATTATGCGTCCGCTTCCGATGAAATCATAACTTCAACTGAATTTTGCTGACAACGAACACGTGCAGAGACGGCAAAATATATCTCATTGTATGCGGTAAACACCGCCTGTAGACGGCTCAGTGCTATAGGGTTAAAATAATATTGTATGTACCTGAAATCACAACTTGAAGAAAGCCCGCCTTGAGGCGGCCAAATGCACTAGAGGGTTAAGGTTCAAGCTAACAAATTCGGAAGAAACTTTTTACCTATGGAATATTTTTTCACCCATTTTTCACTCATTTATTACCACCTTTATCATTTTTCACCACCAAACCACCCTTAATGGGAGCGATTCTGCTGGCTTACGGTTAAAGTTAGCAGAATTCTAAAAAATATTTATAATATACCATAGTGCTCTGCTAGGTTTTTACGAATTTATTAACATACTATAATTTATTTTTATGAACGAGAGAGTAATTAGCATAATTTTAACTGGTACCTTCGACCACTCCATGGGCGTGCTCAAGATTAATTAAAAAATTACTTTGAATAATTGTAAAAAATAAATGAATTATTTCAGTGTTCTAAAGTGTTATGTGTATGTAAACAAAAGTGACCTCTTTTATCACACACTATATTAGAACTGACTGGCCTACATTAAAAAGGGTTTTAAAAAATTCACATTTTTTTTAATTTTTAAAAATTACAAAAGAGAAAAAGAGTTTTTAAAACCGTCTAAGGTATGTTAAATAGATGAATAAAAATATTAATATAAAACTTACAGCTACTTGTTACAAATCCAAATCAGATTCAGAAGATGAACTTTCAGAACCAAGATTTATAATAACTGGCTCGATCATTTTATCAGTAATATTGTCCAGCTTCCACATTTTTTCCTCTTCTTTAATAGTGTGATTTACTCTCTTTTCCCAGTTTTCAGGTTTTACATTATTTACGGCCTCCAAAAACAACTGTTTAACATCATGAATTTTAAAAGTGGTATTTTTTTCTTGAAACTTCACTCTTTATCTGTGCCCATACCAGTTCAATCGGGTTTAATTCACAATGATGTGGTGGGGATCTAAGTACGGTCATTCCATGATTTTTGGCAATTTCATCAATTTCGTATTTTTCAAATTTTTCTTTATGAAGGGCACACAACGAATAAAGTTCCTTTCTTATAGATCCGGGATGGTACGTAATATTTTTTGAACTCAGCCAATTCTGCAAGTCTTTTTTTAACCACTTGGTTGTGGGCAGTCCTTCTATAAGTCTGGAGTGATAACTTGCATTATCCATTACTATTACACAGTTCTTAGGAAGAAGATCTATCATTTGTTCGAACCATTCTTGAAAGACATCAGCGTTCATGTCTTCATGGTAGTCCACCGGTACGAGTTGATTCAAAAGTTAATAAACCACCTTCAACAAAACCGTCTGAACTGCCAATGTGTACTATTATCAGCCTGCATCCCTTTCCTGATGGTGGGTTTAAACCAGTAGATAAGTTATATACAAAA